GTTTCTTCCTGGCTCTCATTTGAGACCTTGGAAGCCTCTGCAGGCTGTGCAGGATGTGCAAGATCTTCCTCCTCCCATTTGTGAGCACAAACACACAAAGAAAGGAGGAGAAGTAAATTTTGAGGTACTGCACAGGGCAGCAGTGTCAGGCTAACAAGTGATTTGGATTCCTCTTACAGCCTCTGTTCCTATTTGGTACCTTCACAGGAAAAGAAGGAAGGAGAAAATGAGTCCTTATCATCTTAATTCTTACTTGCTTACTATATATCCTCTTACTAATTTGCTTCTTAACATTAAGTGAAATCAAAGAGAAAAAGGCAGCTGTCTTAAAAACATCAGTGAATGCAAGACCTAAGTAAAATTACCTAAATGTGAGTTGTGATCAGAAAGAAGCACAGCAAGAACTACTTGTCTGTCAGAAGCAACAAGGGACACAGAGTAAATTCTGAAGTTTCTTTTTATCTCATGCACAGTATGAAGATAGGCTAGCATTTTTGAGTTCAGTACAGAATATTTTGAGATTTTTTTTTATTGCCCTCTGTGCTTTCAGCTTCTTCAGGATGTGGGACCTTCAGTGGCATCTGAGTGTCCTGGGTAGTAATCAGTGTAAAATTTCCAATGTAAAAACTCTAGGAATCCAATTTTTAAAGTTAATTTGATCTATACAGGTTGGAAAAATCTTTTCATGAGTTGCTGCTTCTCTTCCAAAGCCTCCTCAATCTCTCATGTTCACAGATAACACATGGAAGACAGTCTGTACTTTCTAGAGCATTGGAATGTATAATTTCTGTATTTCTATATAAAATGCTAAATATTCATAGCTAGGTCAAATTAAATGAGTTTCTTATGCTGATATTCTTTTCAGCTTATTTTCTCTTCCCTCAGATGACACCTGTCCTGCTACTATGTGTCTCTCACCTCCAGAGACTTCACCTTTATCTAACGTTCAATGCGAGCTCAGCTTCAGATCAGAATGAAGGGAAAACACAGTTTTCAGAAGGACTTGATTACTGATCAACTGCTGTGTCTTTATCACAGTTGCATTGTAAGAGAGATGGAAAATACCTTGTGGTTACAGACATGAGACAGACATACAATAAGGCTTGGAAATTGGTGCACTACAGAGCAAATAAATACTCTCTAGACATTAATAGGAAGCTATTCTGAAAGAGCTACAGAAATCTGTAAGAAATCAGGCACATAAATGCACAAACTAGAATGAGCATTTCTTGCTTTCTTTTTGACAGATGCCCTTTTTTATGTACATAAGATTGAACATGAGACCAACAGAGAAAAAGCCAGTATCTCCACATTTGTCTTGTATGTGGAAATCATTGTCCTGTAATTGGGCATAAAATAGGATGCTTAAAACTTATTGACAATTACTGTACAGCTGGATGAAAAACTATGGAGAGAATAATTGTTTTCACAAGGATTAGCTTAAAATATTAGAGGTAGAAGATACTGGGAGAGCATGTACGGCTGGGCATTATAGGATGAAATTTAGTCAAGTGAAAAATCCTCAATAAGTGTAAGAAAAGGTGACATTATACAAGGCATGCATATATATACAGAGATGCACACAAAGTCTGTCATAGCTGGAGAGCTGCTTCAGATACTTTGAGGTCTGTCAAAGGCTACAACACTTCAAAGGTGACCAATAACAATCAAAAGAGAGCCTTCCACATCTACAGGACTTATAAACTAGATGGGATGTTGGACAGATGGATCCCTGAAGAGAATTGGGCCCTTTGATCATTGTTTTGGTTCAAGCAGACTCCCTGGCATCAGACCCTGTCGAGTTGTGGAATGGCTGATGACACAAGACCTTGCAGGGAAGCCTATTCCAGCCATCCCTGTACTGCCCACTAAATTAACTGATGCTGGATCGGGCCTCTAGTTAAGAGCACTTCACACAGAGCATATCTTTAGACTACATCTCTATCACACACTTTGTACTGCTTTAAATTAAATGGAAGAGCTAGGACCTGGCTACAGAAGCATTTACACCTGCTGCAAACAGATGCTGTCAAGCTGACACCATCCTGCTTTACAAAAGGAGGTAGACGAGGGCTGGATGCACCCCAAAGCATCCCTCTCTCTAGATCTCACACCTGCTCCCTTGCTGAAGTGGGAGATGGTGCAGCAGGAAGGAAAGGGTAGAAATGCTCCAATGGGTTTACTTCTTCCATACTGTGAAAATGCTTTGCAATCTACCTCAATGGTTTAATTCCTGGTTTGCAGTAGAGGAAATGGGGGAAATAGAGGTACTATCACATCTCCCATAGTTCCTGGGAAAGGATAGGTAATTTGTCATAGCAAAATGAACATTAAAAAAAATAAATAAATAGGGAGTGGTAGAGCCAAACTAACCAAATGTGGAAAGAGAATAGGGACCAAAAGCATATGGATGAAACAGGAAATTGGAGCATGAATGGGAACATCATGAAGGGTTTTCAGACTTTCAGACATGTGTCTAAGAACAGAGAATTTGAGTGAAGGAAGAGGAGTCTAGAGCATAGGATAAAAGAAAGGAAAGAAAAAAAAGTGTGTGGAAATGTTAAAAGTGAATTGGTAAGGGAGCCAAAAGGGGCAGGAGGCATTTATGGTTATCTTCTCCCTTTCTATTCTGGGAAGCAGTTTAAGTATAGGCTCATGGCTGTAGCACCACCAGGCAGCATAAACCCACTTTGTGGGTCATCAGTGAAGTGTATAAACATTTTTTGAATGCTTTCCCACCATCTTGTACTAGTGTATTAACATGAGTACCTTGAATTTGAGGTGGGTGCTTCTGAACAAATAAACATAACAAGAACTACCTGCTTCACAGAAGCTAACTAGAGATAATCTGTGCGATTATAAAAGCTATGCACCTGAAATAGTAATTTATTTTGTGCCAAAAGTTTCAAAACAAGCAGTCTCTTTAGTTAGGAGATTGTATTTTATGGAATCCAGAACAATTTCCCCTATAAAAAAAAGTGAAAGCCTTCCCTTGGTAATAAAACCATAATGTTTCCTGACTGTCTGATGAGAATGCATTTTGAGAAGCCTGATGTGCAGTCAAACAGCAAATTATTTCTGCTTTCACGTGATATGTGTGCTTTTCTCTTATTTATGCAGGCAGAAAAGAGGTATATTTTTATATATATATATATATATATATATATGTGTTTCAGTTTTAGCAGTGCGTTCCTTTTGATCAAGCACCCCACTGCTTATAGAGAGCACAGAAGAGCAAAAATAGAGGCAGACATTAAAAAGTGGAGAGGCAGTGCACAGTGCTGGGATCCAGGGCTCAGCCCTCCCTTCTCCGCTCCAGGGTTTGTGTGGGGAAGCTCCAGGACCAGTTTCCATCACCAGCTGCACAACAGTGTGATGCACCAGCAGACAGTGAAAAGCAGCTCTGTCACTCTCAAGTAACGTCTCCGGCTGGGAGCAAAGTCCTCTTATTTACACAAGGACCATGGCTCAGCCACAGACAGCGTTCAAAAAGACATCAGCCAGAGGACAAACAGTAAGAGCCACACCATGACTTGGCACAAAATACGGTCACAGAACATGAAACTCATTTTCAGTTTTACATGATTAACTAAAATTTCCACACAGTTCTTGGACTATCCAGTTGCTCATAAATGGAAATTCAGGTTTTGGTGCAGGTGGTTACCTTATGCATCCACATCATATTTGTATGAGACAGGCCAAGAGCAAAATTATTTAACAGATACCCTTATTCCTGGATAATGGGAACACCCACGCAAAGATGATGAGTTAGGTATTCAACTGCCACTGCTGCCAGTAGCAGCTAGGTGCCAAACCTGCTAAGGCCAAGCAAAAGAGCCCACTGAGAGCTCACCTGCATTGTCAGGCATGCAAACAGAAATTTGATCTGAGTTGTCAAACAATTGACATTTCATAGAAAAAAGACCTTCAAATCACACAGAAATGTACAGCACCTTCCTCAGTGGGTTTTGGATCAGACCTTACTCAACACAGTGTTGGCTGTATGCTTTGTTTTTTGATAAATTTCCTTCTCCTTGATGTGTATATTTTAATAATTCCACCAAATAGGCACATGCACTGGCAAGTATGTTCTATTTATGCAGCAGGACAGCATTCCTATTGCTGGGAACCAACCCATTTGCTGTGAATCTCATTTATCTACCCTCACAGAGTATAGCTTTCCTCAGGTGCAGTACAAAGGCTGAGCCAGTTAACTACAAAACTAACCCAGCTAAAAATAAGCAGCTTCCCAGAAAAAGAAACAGCTGTGCTCTCTACCTCTCACCCTTTATTTATTTATTTATTTATAATTTATTTATTTAAAATTAGTTATCTTTTCACTTCTGTTTTCCAGTCTGAAAGAGACATAGTCCTAATCTAAAATTTAATCCTAAACCTTAACTCATTCATCTCTTTTTAACCCTTATGTGTAATCAGTGGTTTCATCAGATCAGGTTTTTAAAACAATACAAGTAGGACCAAGCTCTAAGGCAAGTAGGAATGAACATAACATGCAGAGTCATTCAAAGAGTAGTTTTCTTTACGTTCATCTAGAGAAGAAACTGTAAAAGGGTAAAAATTTTTCAAAAGCTGGGGCTCTTCTCAAGCATAGTTAGTCTCTTCAAACCTGAAATTTCGTTGAAAATTCAGATTTTTCCCTATTGAGAGTTTCATATGAAAGAAAATTACCTCCTTTAAAAATACTGTTTCAAGTGATTTTCATGTGAAAGTTATGGGTTTGGTATATGTTTCAAACCATACTACTGCTTTCTCAAGATGGATTAAGTTACAAGGTGTATAAAAGCAAAACTGTGAAAATTAAATTGACCAAATTAAATTTCATTGAACTGTGCAATTCCCAATTCAGTGCTATTATCTAAAAGGTTAAATCAAGACTCAAAGCAGCACTGAAAATGAAGCCAAGATCCCAAGTGTACTGAAGTTCATCTCAAATACATGGTGGCTGTGCCATGTTTCTTATTGAGTATTTCCCTTTGCAGTCATACAAACTGCTGTCCCTGATGGCAGCAAAGAAACCTAATCATGCGAATTATTTAAGAAAACCAGAAGCGCATATGTCTGTTAACCAGGTTCAGAGCATGAATGAGGAAAAGTTCCTGTGGTGGGAAGTAATCAAACTGAAATTGAGGTCAAAGACAACCTGTAGAAACTGCATTTTGTTAGGCAGTGTCAAGCAAAGGTGGTGAAAAAACTTCAGAAGTCCACTAACCACATAATGATTAAGATTCAAGCTCATCTCTTCTACTATTAACTCCAGCTGCAGCCAGATTTCCAGACCAGGAGTAACATCACTAATGTAAGGCTATGACTACATGTAAGTCTTTTTTATGCTATCTGAAGTCATACTGAGGTTTCAGTAGAGAACTGTGACAGGATTAGAATTGAAAAGGCTTCATTTTTACTGAAAAAAAAAAAAGAAGTATAATACACATTCAACCTTTAAAAACCTTTAGCAAGTCCTCCCCTCTTATTTTTTACCAGCTCTATGCATGTCACACAACTTCTGCTCTAATGGCACTATTTCATAAAACCTCTGTTAAAGGTACAGAGAAGGGGTGTGGTTAGTAGGTCGAGAGAGGTCCTCCTTCCCCTCTACTCTGCCCTGGTGAGACCCCATCTGGAATATTGTGTCCAGTTCTGGGCCCCTCAGTTCAAGAAGGACAGGGAGCTGCTGGAGAGAGTCCAGTGCAGGGCAACAAAGATGATTAAGGGAGTGGAGCATCTCCCTTATGAGGAAAGACTGAGGGAGCTGGGTCTCTATAGTTTGGAGGAGACTGAGGGGTGACCTTATAAGTGTCTATAAATATATAAAGGGGGAGTGTCACGAGGATGGAGCCAGGCTCTACTCAGTGGCAAACAATGACAGGACAAGGGGTAATGGGTACAAACTGGAATACAAGAGGTTCCACTTAAACTTGAGAAGAAACTTCTTCTCAGTGAGGGTGACGGAACACTGGAACAGGCTGCCCAGGGAGGTTGTGGAGTCTCCTTCCCTGGAGACATTCAAAACCCGCCTGGACACATTCCTGTGTAACATTATCTAGGTGTTCCTGCTCCGGCAGGGGGATTGGACTAGATGATCTTTCGAGGTCCCTTCCAATCTCTAGCATACTGTGATACTGTAAAAGCAAGCAATTTGGAGGCATGTAAGATTGAGTCTGGATTTACTGTATGTATTAGAGAAGATGGTCCAAAAGTGAAGACATGTTCAGCTGAAGGCTGGATATCCAGATTGCAGAGTCAAGCTGTCAGATTCAGGAGGATGCTGCAAGTCAAAATTTCCTGAATAACCTGACACAAGGTCTTTATCAAAAGCAGGAGAGATGAAATTGCTCAGTTCACATTCCCCCTTTGAGAGGGGCTGTTGCTTATTCTTTTAGTCATCTAGTGGCTGCACTTCGATGCAGTAATGTGTAAAGCCTGACAGGATAAATGCAAAGTATGCGTGCAGACTGTATGTATGTCATACCTTCTACACAGACTCCTGAAAGGAAACAATTTCAGTTCTACTACTGAAGTTGTTTGGAGCTCCCCTGTATGATACCCTGATAAATAACGTATAGAGAAACCCTTCATGGAATATGTTCAGTGGGCAGTCTCTCTCCACCTCCAGCTTCTAGGAAAAGTCAAACAAGAAAGAGTAAATTGAAAATGGCCGAAGTTTGAACCCTTAAACTGTGATAAACCACCAGACACACAAGCACTGATGCAGTTCTGCTACTCAAGTCCGATGCAGAGACTTGTCTAGGGAGCATGAACCAACCTGAAAGCACATACATAAATGTCTGAAACAGCCCTAAAAAAGATGCAAAAAGTGGTATTAAAGGATTCATGGTCTCCACCATACTGTTCCTTGCCTTTATTGTGGGCTACAGAGCCCAGTAAAGCCACCATGGTGGTTTCGTGAAACAACTTTGCAAGTGTTCACTGTGTAGTGAGTGACTTCTTGCTTTTGTTCATTTTGTGAAATAAACTGCACACTTCCTTGGGCGGGGAAGGATAGGGGAGGCCAGGTCAAAAGTCCAGCCTGTGCCTGTGAAATGAGGCTAATAAATCTGGATTTTGTTCACAGGTCTGCCCGCCTATATCTGTAGAGAGCAGCAGGTACATCTCAGGTCAGGGTTATAAAAAGCATAGCTATCCATTCCCTAAGATCCAACTCACCTCTGTGCAGAGGTTCAGCACACTGACTTTGTCTTACTGTTCTTCACGGCTTAGTGAATCAGTGACCCCATGCTAGCTGTCTGGGTTTGTATCATGCTTGAAATGTACATCTCACAGGAAATGTACTAACATGCAATTGTCTCTTGAACATCTCTGTCCAATCTTATAAAGTGAACTGCAATTATTTTTACATGTTCTATATGTTGAGGGCCTAGAATTTATTTGAAAAGTATTTTCCCTCAGGAAAAAAAACCAAAACATGTTACTTCTCCTCTTTCCTTATTGTTTAAGAAACACAGAATGCCATAGTTAAAGCCTGTTTTCATAATATTTTCTGAGCCTGTAGAGTTTAGTAGGATCTAGGGAATATACTTTCAGTTTTTGTTGTCATGTCCAATATACCTCTATTATATTGATAGAAAAATATGTTCACTCTTTGTCTATTGCCAAACCTTGTGCAGTAGACGAAGTGTCTGTTCTATTATGTAGAAGTAACTTGCTTAACTTGGAGCTGGGAAGATTCATGGTGGGTTAAAGCGCACTTTGTGAGAGATGATTCAGGACTCGGTTTTCCATGGAAGGGGAAGAGGGGAGATGGTATTCTTCTCCAAAATGCAATGGAACCATGCAAGCAATGTAGAGCACTACAGTCCACCTAAAGTATCAGGACAATTGTCTGACCATTTTAGTTTTAATTCATTTGAATAGCAGCAAGGCTGCCCAGGATGAGAGATCAAAATCTTTGTAAAATTAGCTTGTGCAAGTATTTGGCTCAGGGCATCTTGGAGTAGATTTAAATAGCTCTTTAGGACTTTGAACACCACTGAAAAAGTCCTGAGCTGAATTAAGATCAAGCTTCCTTCCGAGAGCAGCTGAACCCCTGCCTCCAGAAATTGACTTTCCACTATAAAGTGACAAGCAGTGCCAGAGATGCACTGCCCTGTATTATAGTCCTTCTAGCTTGAAAGAGCTGGGGTTTGCAGTATGCAGCATGGCATTTCACAAAGGAGGGCAAAACAAAAAAGAGTAACCCAATCCCTCACAACGAAAACACAGTGACCTCATGCTTCTCTGCAGATATTTCCTCAAATTATAAAAGTTCTATATTGGCAGAGCAGAAAACAAACAGGAAAGAATCATATCATCTGAATTAGAAACAGAAAAAAAATACCAAGGTTAAGGAAAAATATCTTAAGCATAAGGGGAAAGAAATATCTTAGGAAAGGGGAGTCTTATATACAATACTCTTTCATCTTTCCATCCTACCTTTTCCCTTTCCCTGTTCTCCCCAGATAACTTAGCCAAATGGTCAACTAAATCCAGCAGGCAGATGAAGGCCTGAGAAGTACAAAGAAACCAATACCACAAAACCTAGCAGGTGGGAGGAAGAGCCATTATTTTTGTCCTTGATGAGAGCAAGTGCCTGTAGTGCTGTCTCACCAAGTGCTATCTCATCAAGTGCAAACTTTATAACTGCCATTAACTGGACATATAAAAGACATTAACTGGAAGTTGCTTCTGTCCATCCACTCAAATCAAGCAATCCCTACAACATAGTATTGGTGTATACAGAGATCTGGTGTGCACACTACTCGGAGAAAGCTATTTTTTTTTTTGTTGTTCTGCATTCCGGAATATGCCCATGTATTACAAGAAGTTTCTCAGCAGGAAAAGATAATTCTATGTATTGCAAAGATGAATGAATAAATACCTGTTCAAGATGCAGGACCCTAGCCAGAATTAGATATTTGACCCAAATCACCAGAACTATGTTTTAATTTGTGTGATAGTAAATCAGGTGTGCTGAAACTTCTTGTACATGAGCCATGGGACTGCTGGGACATTAAAGTGAATAGACCATAAAATTTGATTTGATAACTCTAGTAAGGAAGTGCTGCAGAAAATGAACAATCATGAATTTGTAACACATTTTTAACCAACAGGTCCATGTTTTCTTTAAACATTTAACTAGAACAAGTGCTAGGTGAAAGTTCTGAGAAAAACAGTGTGTACCGTGAGGACTGATATTCTGTAAATAAGTATTTTTCTGTTTCTTCTCAAAAGTAATGATGTTTGCCTAAATACTGTCCTAGCAGCTACTCTTACCTCAAGAGCATTCTCGATACTCTAAGAAGGACAGATGAAGCAAAGTGTCTGTGCTTTATCTGCAGGAGGGGTGGGATTTTCCTCGGAGGAACAGAGCTGGTACCACTTCACAGAAGTCACTGCAGACATCAATATGATCCTGAATCATTGGGTGTCTCTCTTCTTGCTTTCCTTATATTTATGAAGCATACATGAGAACTGTTGGCCTGTTTAGATTTCAGCATCAAGAATAGACTTCATGTGCAAGTCTTTATGAGAATCATAGCCTCAGAAGTTGAACATGACGTTAGCGGGCTTTAATATTCAAAGGTCACCATGGAAGCTGAATTCTGCCATCCCTTATCCCTCTCTTCTGCAGGGTAATTAGATGAGTGATTGCCCTTTAAAGCAGTGTGGTACAGAAGAAACCAAACCATCAGCAATGGACCCTACGCTTCAAAGTCTGTCAAGAGCAAACAAGCCAAGAAAGCCATTTCTTTAATTAAAAAAAAAAAATATTTATGGCTCAAGACATGAATAAATATATGTTGACATAAATCTTCTTTGTGAATTGGAACAATATTTTAGGCTACTTGCAGGTCTTGGATGTAGTAATGCTTTTTGCCCCACAAGCCAAAGATTTAGTAAAGCTCTCTAGCCACAGAGAGATCTGATGCTGCTTCATGGAATGACAGTCTAATGGGGAAGTGGTGTCTATCATGTCCACAGGGCACTTTGTCAGCACGGTATTGCTCAGTTCAGCAGCAAACTGTGATAAGCAGTGAATTACACAAGTCATGACACTTGAACAAGAAGATAATTAAGAAAAATGATTGATGCAGACAGCAGAAGAGCAACACCTTATTTTGATTACTTGTCTTCACACATGCATGTATCAGAGGATCTGTCTATGGGTAGGGGAGTTATTTACAGAGGCTGGTAAGGGCCCTATTTCTAGTCCCTTCTGGCTGCCATGTGCAAATAAACTATATCTGATCGAGGGGTGGACTTAACAATGGACACTATTGCCCAGGTTATTCATGAGTGTGAAACATGTGCTGCAATTAAACAAGCCAAGCGGTTAAAGCCTCTTTGGTATGGAGGACGATGGCTGAAGTATAAATATGGGGAGGCCTGGCAGATTGACTATATCACACTGCCGACATCCTGCCAAGGCAAGCGCCATGTGCTTCCAACCACCACCGGGTGGCTGGAAACATACAGTGCCCCAGGCCACTGCCCGGAACACTATCCTGGGCCTTGAGAGACAGATTTTGTGGTGACATGGCACCCCAGAGAGAACTGAGTCAGACAATGGGACTCATTTCTGGAATAACCTTATAGTCATTTAGGCCAAAGAGCATGGCATTGAGTGGGTATATCATATCCCCTACCACGCACCAGCCCCTGGGAAAATTGAACGGTACAATGGGCTGTTAAAAACTACACTGAGAGCAATGGGTGGGGGAACTTTCAAGCATTGGGATACACACTTACCAAAGGCCACCTGGTTGCTGAACACCAGAGGATCTGCCAACAGGGCTGGCCCAGCCCAGTCAGAACTTTTACATATTGTAGAGGGGGACAAAGTTCCCATGGTGCATATGAAGAATTTGCTGGGGAAGACAGTCTGGGTTATTCCTGCTTCAGGTAAAGGCAAACCCACTCGTGGGATTGCTTTTGTTCAGGGACGAGGATATACTTGGTGGGTAATGCGGGAAGATGGGGAAGTCCGATGTATACCTCAAGGGGATTTGATTTTAGGGGAAAACAGCCAATGAACTTAATTGTATGCTGTTGCCTGCTGTGTAATACTTTTATAGCCCATCAACCAGATGTCTCCAGGTCACCAGTGACTGGCCCTGACTTCCCTCCAACCATCATCCCAACAGAGAATGAACTTTGATAGAACCAGATGAGTTCCACAGTAAAGAAACGACCAGCATCAGCAGGCAACGATCCAATACTGCACACAGCCTTTCCTGCCCTGAAAGATTGTTACTAGAGATGGAACCTGACATCATGGACTGAATGGACTCAGCAGCATTATAGGGATTGGTCCATGCACTAAGAAAATGATTTTTTTTCTCTTGGTCTGTGTGTATATGGATGTATATATGTGGGAGAGCAATGGTCTATTGAAAATGCGGGATCTGAGCATGACGTGAATGGTAGGGAATAAGGGGTGGATAATGTCCTGGGTTCAGCAGTAGCAGTCATGTTTCTCCTTCGTGGTAGCTGGTGCAGTGCTGTGTTTTGACTTCCAGCCTGGGAACAGTGCTGGTGATACCGATGTTTTCGGTTGTCGCTAAGTGATGTTTACCCTGACCAAGGACTCTGTGAGGCTCATGCTCTGCCAGGGAGGAGGGGAGGCCAGGAGGAAGCAGAGACGGGGCGCCTGACCCAGGCTAGCCAAAGAGGTATTCCATACCACAGCACGTCATGCCCGGGGTGGGGGGTAACTGGGAGTTACCCGGAAGGACACGGGCTTCCGGCTGGGACTCGTTTCTTGGCTGGTGGTATCGCATTCTCTTCCCTTGTTATTTTCTCTTATCATTGTTGTCGTTGGTGGTAGCAGTGGTGATTTGTGTTGTACACTGGTTGCTGGACTGTTCTTGTCTCAACCCGTAGGAGTTGCACTCTTTCGATCCTCCTCCCTGTTCCTCCGGGAGTGGGGAAGGGGAGAGCCCCGGGGCGGGGGGGGGGGGGTGTGTGTTTCGATTGCTCTCAGCCCGGCACCACTCACTGGGAGTGAGTGAACAAGCTGTCTGGCTGGGGTTTAAACCACGACACAAGCACATTTGACAAAAGCTTTTAAACATTAATTGAACAGAGAATGGCTATAAAGTTGCCTAAATAACTTTTTTGTTTGTTTGTAAGTAAAACATTTCTACATAAAAGGAGTAATTGCTTTCAGTTCCTTTGATGTTGGAAAGCCTCAGTTCTCTGAAAGTTCTTTCTAGAATATAATTCACAACAGAATTATTTGGAAGGGCAAATGAAATTACAAGAACTGGTACTGTGATACAGAATGATCTCTATAAATTTCTCCTCTTTCACTAGAATAATTTTTACATTTCACCACTATTATCAGACAACCACCTCTGCATTGAGGAGCGTTTGACACTGCACAGGTTTCAATAAATAAAATATACAAGGATACATACAGATATTGCTGAGAAAGCACTAGGTATCTTCTGTCACCTCAAACTAGAATGTTTACCTCTGGTTCTATGCTATACCTGCATCTATTCCACTTCACCAGTCTTTCTTTACAATAAGGAAGCTTTCTAAAAATAATATCTGAAGCATCAGTAAAATTAATATTTCTCTATTCTGTGATAAAAGACTGCACTGAGAAACGAGCTCTAAAAAGACAGAAATTACACGTTTACATCAGTATCTGCTGTAATGCAGATCCCTTCAACATTAAGACTGTTTTAATTTTTTTTACTTCTTTCTTCATAGTTTAACCCTATCTTTATTTGAAGGTAACTGTACCATGGCTGAATAGGGATGGACAAGCTTGGAGATATATTTGAATTGTAGCATGTTGAATATTCTGCTGAAATTTCCATTCACCACTCACTCCATCCTCTCCTGGTTATTTTTCAAGACTGCTTGCCATCCTTTCCTAATTCCATCTAGGATCACGCTGGAGGCTGAGATCAGAGAACAATGAATGTGCCCAAGGATCCAGGAAATCACCCCGACAGAGGAAAGGGATGGTTGCAGGAGGAAGAAAAGTGTTCTTCAAAGAGTAAGGTGAGACACCATGAAGATCTGGACAGCAAGCCAGTAGGGGTTAGATGTGCTGAGAAATACAAGGAACAGATGGGAGATGGGGAAGATGCTCAAATACTGTAGGGCATTTAGAATGCTGTGTGAGGAGAAGCAAAAGGCCTCTCTGCTCATGAGGAAGACACCTGACGGTCAGATTGTGACATCAGCTATCCAATGGCATTTCATGAAACTTGCAGCATTTTCCAGACAATCAACATTTCATACTAAAATACAAAAAGTATTGAAACAATTTCCTAATGAGATGGAGTTTTGAAGCATTTCCCCCCCTGAATATTCCATGTAAGGAATAAGTAATGTTTGCAGAGAACTGGGATGTGTGGGTTTGTGGGTGTGTGTGCACGCGCAGAGTGGTTACATCTTGCTACAAGTCTTGCTATAGTAGGTTCAGTCTTCAGACTTGTGTGATGATCAATGACACAGCAGAGAAACAGCATCTGGTCCTTCGGGCTTTGGATGGAGAAAGGTATGAATAGTTTTGCCTCTGACCATATGTCATTTGCATCTTACAGACAAGATATGCCCTTAGCCGTTGGATTATGTGTACCATGTAGTAATAGGATGAAAACTGAATTTCTCAATTACGTTTGTAGATAAACTCAATAAGGCTGTTTACACTTTTCTGTATTGTTCTTTACAAAATTAAAAGAAAAAAACTAACTTGAGAATTTGGCTTTTTGTCCCCAGTGAAGTGGAAAACAAGTGTTGCTGCTGGGATTTTGCCAGAAATGAAAAGTGCAGTCCTCCCAACAGCTCTGCTCCACAGACCTCTCTACGTGCCATTTGTTCACAGCAAACAGCCATGGTGATATCTTCTGCAACAGAAGAGGTCCCTAGCCGCACTGTGCCAGGGCTGCTTGTAAGTGACATTCAGGAAAGTGGGAAGGACAACTGGTAGAGTCACTAGAGAGATCACACAGGGAAAGAACAAGGGCAGCTTCTCTCCAGCGTGGCACTCATATCCTTCATGTTGGATTGAGCAGTACAGAGCAGGTGGTCGGAAGGCTGTTAAATGACAATGAAAGATTCACAAAAGATGAACGGTAAGGAGATTAATAAGCAGTGTAATTTTAGAGGAGTCACAAGGTCAGCTGGTGAGACTTTATGCTCCCAATAATTAGCAGGAGGAAATATAAATATTTCTCAGTAGTATTTTCTCTCTTCTCCTCCTTCTCTGTTACCTTGGCCTTGCTACAATTCTAGGTTTCATGCAATATCCACAATAACAGCCCAAATTTACTGCACATACTGCAAAAGAAAGTGATAAAGTGGGAATAAATTATACCTTTGAAGAGAAAAATCTGTTTCTCTATGCCTACAAAGCTTCTAAAACTAGGACTGGCTAATACAGCTATAATCATGCATTCACTACGCGTGAGCATCTAATGGAAACCTTGCTGTGAGCAAGGCCCTGATGAAACATGGGAATTATTTGCCTAATTGCTAAGCAGGTGGATCCTAAATCCGATGAGAAACTGCAACTTTGAAGTTTTACTTAGTATTTAGGTTCTCAAGTAATCTCTTTCAGAAGAATGGCATGGATCCCAATGTATTTTAAAACATTATATCATTTTACAGCATCTTCTGAAGAGCAGTACTCAAGAGCAGTACTCCTCTTTACTCGATACCCTTGTTAGACTGTGTTGCATATGTTAGAAATTTCTTCAGAGCAACAGGGAGATGACAATGTCCTAACCACTCAACTATGGGCTAATCTGGCAGAGACATTAAGCCTCTCCTATTAAATGATAGTATTTGAATTAGAAAACTTGGGTGCAATGAAATAAAGAGCAGTGGAATGGAACTACCAGTTAAGCTAGGTCCCAGGGGAGTCCTGGGATCCTGTCTGTGCTGTAAAGACTGTATGCGTATGTTAACTAATAAATGTATTGAAAAAGACCACGAAAGAAGACTTCAGAGTTGGAAGCAGTACTGAAATCATCTTTCTTAGCTAACCATTACATACAGAAAGAAGGAAAATGTACAGTCTGGTCCTGTAAATGCGCAGGAAGCAAGCTTGGCAAACTGAGCATGTGCAGGGTCAGTTAGGGAAGAAAAGCCATAGTAGGTTTTGCTCTCTGTGACATCGATCAAGTTACTCAGGGCAGGCAAGAATAAAGAGACCTAAGTGGTCACAGGAACACTAGCAGAATATGGGAAAAAAAACAGCTTTTTACAAACAGTAGATATATATGAAATTATATTTAGGCAAACATCCAACTTAAAATCATTGACATTTAAGGCTGAATTCTCAAGAATACTATACATTGAAGGAGGAAATGTGCTGTTGTAGCTGTGAATGTGGTGATGTAAACCACCACTGCTTGATCTCCCAGAGCAGTGAACAGAAGCTCAAGCAAACAGTTGCAAGGTGAAAGAGGCAGGGCAGACCCCAGTTCTCTGCTGGTGGGCAGTTCACTGAAGACTTTGTCTCAAAGGCACCATTTGGAGTAACCTAATAATTGCTTCAAGTATATCAAGGCTAAACCATGTCAAGAGTTGAGGCCATGGTTTATTCCCCGTTGGCACCCTGCTCCTTCCCCAGTCTTGCAGCAAGCAGAACTATGCCACTAGGGAAAGACCAGTATGAACAGGAGGAAGACAAATAAGTTGGAGAAGCTTATACACAGGTATCAGCACAAATCAACATCTCCCATGTGTATGTTTCTCCAGAATGAGCAATTAAAACTTGGAAAGTGGTCAGTGGGGACACCCTCAAAAAGAAAAAATAAGGGCACTGCTTTTATAGAGCAATCACATCAGTTTCAACAGATGGTACACAGAGAAGCACTGAAGCGATCAATGCCAGGTCTGTGTTGGTTAGACAGCAGAATACAAAACCCATACTGGAAGAGACTGAAGGGTTGGACAAAACACGATTTCTAATTAAAACCTGTAAGATCCCCCAGTGACAGGGATACAAGTGGAAATCCAAGGCAGAAGAAATTTGGTCCAGCGCTACTTTTTTTGGAGGGTAATCCTGTGTTGACACGGGAGTCACGGACAACGCAGAGACGATCAATGTGATCAAGTGATTGCCAAATTCATTACAAAGCCTTAACTCCTTATATACTATTGCTTACATGCACTTACAGTGATCTGGCATATTATGATTGGATACATGTCTTGAAGACCCTTAGTGACTAACATATAATTGGTTAAGCACAGGTGTGAGAACTTGACCTCGAAAGCTTGCCAACAGTCCACAGTTCTCATTAACTCAGTGAATTCCAGCTTCTTCTTACCTTGCTTGCTTAAGCTTCTTTGGGCCTCTCATGGCCTTGCTGTATCTTTCAGGATTATTCAGAGTTTATGTACCAATTATGCATTCTCCCGTGAGAACACTGTCTCCACAATCCTGGGCATGAAAATTACTGAAAGCATGTGGAGGATCTTTAGGTGTATGGAAGGAAGAAATAGGATAATAAAATGTTTAGGATGTAGGTGGGTAAAGATGTGACCCAGCATTTTCCCTATCTTGATTTCCACATAAAAATTGCCCAGTACTTATTTTGCCTCATCTGTTTCATAATGAATGTAAAAACCAAGCCACTGTAAGGACTAAATGGGAGAGAACAAGCAGTTTAATTCGTAAGCCTATTACAACTCCAAGAATAAAAAAAAAAAAAACAACAAAAAAAACCCCAAAGCTACTGAAAGCACACAGATGGAATCTAAAAGTTAAAAGCCCATGCTGGTTCAAGAACAAATGAACAGAAGCCATCAAAGGTTTACTTCAAAAGAAGTTTATAAATTGTGTAACCAATGGAGATGTGATGGTCTGGGACAATATTCCAGTAAAAACTGCAGAAGTGAGAATCTATCCCACTTTAAGATAGAACCCCGTAGGTTTCTGAAAGACCTGAAATGTTGTGATTATTGCAGCAAAATTGTTTTGATTGCCCAGAAAATCAAGTGGTTCCCCTCCAACATTTTTACAGCCAACCCCGCATCCAGTGTTAAAGTAAGAAAATGGTCAGACTCTTCAAGAGCTGTAGCAGGAAGACAAGGGTGCGTGAGGAGCCCTCTCTCTCCTGCATTTCACTATTTCACGCATCTGGTGGCTCTGACACCCTAAGTCATTCCCCTGCCTGTTGTCTAAGGAGAGCATTGGTACAGAGTTGCTCAGCACACTGAACCACCCCCTTTTGAAGCAGAGAGGGAGCAGGCACACAGGGTCTCTCCTTCAAGCTTATCTTATTCAGCGATTGATGAAAAAAGGAAGAAAAAAAGAACAGCCTACAAACAAAAAACACTCCCCATCTCCCTTCCATTCTGTGATTTCCTTTTCCTGTTTTTCCTGTCTGACTCCAAAGCAACATCAGAAAAAAAGGTCTGTTTTCCCAGTGAAGGGTTTAATTCCTAATTATGTTTTTCATGTTTAAAACTAGGAAACAGAATGGCTTATATTCTGGGAATTAAAGAAAGTAGAATGGCTGGTATTTATGGGCCAGTCTACTGCACTCTTGTAGCTCAGGAATAATTGTAAAGAAGCAACACATACTGTGATAGACTGAAATTATCCCTAGGTTTTTCATCTGTCAAACAAGTTGATTCACATCTCATCTGCTTTCTGAATGAGATATGAAAATGAGTCTGCTACTTTACTTATGCTGTCAAAGGAGATGATGGATTGAACTGCCTTTAAAGTGACAGTGAACTTTCTACTATCTCTGTCTGAAGAGTGAGTACATAGGGTGTGACTTTATCTGCAGGGAATTAAATCGTATCCCATGTGTAGAGAACAAGGAGATATGTCCAAAAGACTTTCAGAGTTGGTCATTTGGGCCTGAAGCAAAATTTCATTTAACTTTCTGCTCATGTCTGCCTTCCTGAATTTTTCTGATGCAATTGGTAGTGGAAGGTTTGTGCTGTCTGACCAACAGCATTCTTTGGGAAGAGATAAGGTCCCAGCACTCCTTGAGCACTTGTTTTAACCAGGAAATTAGATTTCAGCAGCTTGCATGGGGAAGGAAGACAGAGATGTCAATGTGCTCGTGAAGGAGGAAGAGTTAGGAACCAGCTATGAGAAAGACCTGCCTGTTTCATTTACAGAAGTAACTACAAAGCCATCACTACCCAGGATGATACTGAACTTAAGAACAGAAAATGAGGAAAACTCCCATTTCCTTGCCCATGTCAAATCTTCACTCAGTGTTTATTTTTATATATTTTCCTTAATTGTTTAGCTATCAAAGCTTCTGTGAGTTCATCATCCTCCCCAAAATAATC